TGTGTGTGTGTGTGTGTGTGTGTGTGTGTGTGTGTGTGTGTTTGAACTTGCTTTTTTAACTTTAAAATTGGGTTTGGAGGTTTGACCTGAGGATTTTTGCTGTGATATAAATGTTGGTATCCTCTTAAAATTCCTGTTTATTGCCAGCATTGGTGATACACGCCTTTAATCCCAGCACTTGGGAGGCAGAGGCAGGCAGATCTCTATGAGTTCCAGGCCAGCCTGGTCTACAGAACGAGTGCCAGAACAGGCTCCAAAGCTACACAGAGAAATCCTGTCTCAAAAAAACAAATAAAATAAAATAAAATAAAATAAAATTCATGTTTACTGATAACAGGATGTTGCTCAGAAGCTGTGCGTTTTTTTAGAGTCCTGGGTTTGATGCCAGCCATTAAATAAAAGACTGTGTTGACCTGGGTCCTAAGTAATGTATAGTCAGTTATGCTTTCTGGCTAATAACTCTGCAAAAGAAACAAAATGATAGGAGAATGTAGGAGCTTACAGTTAAAGGGTATAAATTTTTTTGTAATCCCTCTCCATGATCATGGGATATGTTAAGAGGTGAATTTTCACTTTATAAAGACCATTTTGAGTTGAGGAAATAATTCATCACACATTTTTCTCCATAATGATCACCCAGAGGATTTGAACTATTTGATTTCCAGCTCATTAAGACGTCATTATTACATAAAACATGATATGCTTGCATTCTATGTGGAATTATCACAGCCAATGAGATCTAGGCGCTATTGTGACAAAGTATAACAGTATAAATATTACCTTTGAATGTTTCTTAACACAACATGAGCTTGACCTGGTTTTCAAAAATTACAATAGGTTCACAAAGACTATTACCTTTCCTATTTTGGGGTGCTCAAAGAGCAAATGAAGAAAAATTAATCATGTCCTTTAGCAAAAGCAGAGTGAAAGCTTTATCTTCTACTTAGAAGAGTGGCTTTATTGAGGTGAAAAATGCTTCAATAAAATTGAATACTTTTATTACTTTTTAAAAATATTATCTTCAGCCTCTCATATTCACTTGAAAACTCTGAAGCTTTCAAAGTCTTCTAGAACAGAATGCTTTGTTGACCTTTAAATAAAATATGTTTTGCTAGTTCATATTTTAATATTTTTCTTTTTATTTAAATAAAACTTAAATAAAAATTAGAAACAAGTTTGTTTTACATGCCAATCCCAGTTCCCTCTCCCTCCTCTCATCCCCTGTCCCCCTCCAACTCTTTATCCCAACCACTTTCTGCTCCCCAGGGAGGGTGAGGTGATCCTCACTTCCATGGGGTGATCTTTAGAGTCTGTATTTGGAGAAGGGCCTAGACCCTCCCCCGTGTGTCTAGGCTGAGAGAGTATCCCTCTATGTGGAGTGGGCTCCCAAAGACCATTCATATACTAGGGATAAATACTGACCCACTACCAGAGGCCCCATAGATTGTCCAGATGCCCAAATTGACACCCAAGTTCAGTTCAGGGAGTCTGGAACAGTCCTATGCTGGTTTCCCAGCTATCAATCTGGTCCATGAGCTCCCCATTGTTCAAGTCAGCTATTTCTGTGGGTCTCTCCAGCCTGGTCTTGACCCCTTTGCTCATCACTCCTCCCTCTCTGCAACTGGATTCTAGCAGTTCAGCTCAGTGCTGTGCTGTGGGTATCTGTTTCTGTTTCCATCAGCTACTGAATGAAGGCTCTAGGATGGCATATAAGGTAGCCATGAGTCTCATTATAGGGGAAGGGCATTTAAGGTAGTCTCTACACTATTTCTTAGATTGTTAGTTGGCTAAACCTTGTAGATCTCTGGACATTTCCCTAGTGCCGGGTTTCTCTTTAAACCTATAATGGCTCCCTCTATTATGGTATCTCTTTTCTTGTTCTCTTCTATTCTTCCCCTGACTCAAACTTCCTCCTCCGTATAGGCCTGGCCTTTGAGGCCTTTGACTTTTCACCGGTAAGCCTGAGTTAAAGTCTTTAAAAATAAAAAAGCCCTGAAGTAACTGAGGTCACACTGTCAAGGCAAGTTGTTTGATAAACTCTTGGTTTATGAACCTCTTTTATCTTTCCCCTACTGCACTGGGCTAGTCATATATGAGGAGAGTTTCCATCCAACAAATTCTTTTGAGCATTTATTATGCTTTAAGATAAAGCTGTCACTAACATGAGAAAAATCCCTATACTTATGGAATATATGTCATTGTGCATGGAGAATGCAAGAAACAAATTGCAATGTAATATCACTAGAAAGAAACAGAAACTTAGGGAGAACCAAAAGGTAATGAATTATATTTTATATA